AATGTTGCCACACATGTCAAAATAATATTGAAATAACACAGTAGACTTCTTACGAGTTTCTGCATTACCGACTGGTTGATGGTGAACGAATTGTCTTAGATAAAAAGTTAGATATCGGAACTAATTTTTAAAAAATCTTTAATATTTTTCAAATATTTATTAATTTTGATTACTTTTTTCATAGATAGCTAAGCATTAAAGAATCAGATTTTGCCATCAACTAGGGTAACTGACAGGTATGTCCAACTTTGCATCCATTTTTCTTTCAGCATCAATCAAAAAGATATATTTACACTGTAAAAATAGAAAATTATTATCTTGGAGTTTTCTACATTGAACAGACAGTGACATAGGAAGTATGCATGTTCGAAACATGTCCCTAATCAAAACCTGGCTTCAGTGTGATCCTGAAATGGAGGACCAAGCACTACGCAACAAACACGCAGAACGTGTCAATGTCTGGAAGCTTCTTCTTGCCAACAACAGAAATGGTAATTTCTTTTATTCCATACTAAGTTTTGTAAGCCAAATTGTATTAAGTTTTCTATATGTTTCATATTGACATTTAAAAGATTTATTACTTTAATCAAATTATTGCAATCATGAAGTTTACAATATCAGTCAGATCTTCTCGAGACCATGTGAATTAAAATTTCTGAAATCATCAGATATGTGAAATTTTAAAAAATTTACAGAATTATTTTGCTAGCGCACCCCATCATCTAGATTTTGACATTTTTACTTTTTTTGATCACTTTGGAATTTCTTGCATCCGTTGTTTAAAATTAAGGCCTTTATCATCACTAGCAAGCCCTTGAAGGAGAAAAATACTGTATGATGCAGTTGAATTTAAAGTTTGTCTCTGCTGTATAAATTTATATGAAAGGTGCTATTCACTTGTGTTTCTTTTTTACAAGTTTTATTTGAGTTTAATGAACATTGATTTATAGAAAAGTCAAGCTGATAATTTCTTAACCAGTAAATGCTTGATTATCAACAGGAAATGTGATTAGCAAACAATGGGAGACCAAAATTTGACTGATAGCACCAGATTAAATGAATTGTTTCACTTTTTCCTTTTATTTTTCAGAAACCTACCTACCAGGTGTATTTAGATACAAGTCTACAAAATCTCTGTGGGACACTCTCTGCCCAGTAAGTCTTCAATACATTTGTGTGTATTGCTGCACATAGACTGCAGAACATAGTGCTTCTGTCCATTTTTATTCTAGAAATACAGAAATGCTGATAAAAGATACAGTTACCATTTATTAACTATAAATAGTCTGTGGTATATTGTTTAAAGCATCTGTTTCTCTTAAGTTTTTTGGAGAATGAAATATTTCTTTCAATTTGTACTCTTTGTAAAGTGTGTGTCAAACAGGACCTAATGCACCCTATATCTTTGTAAGAGGATCAAAAACATTGTAATTTTCCTAACACCACAGATGAAGAAAGCAAGGCCAGAGGACACATTTGAAATCATTGATCTGAATGATATCATCCCTGAGATTTCCATTGACCTCTGTGAAGATGTGGGAGAGGTCACACCAGGGATTGCTTGTGAAAATGTGGGTGAGGTCACATCAGAAAAGCCACTGCAAGGCAACAAGAAGAAACAGAAGAAAGGAAAATTTCTCTGTTGCTTTGGAAAGTAAAAAGCTACACGCAATGGCTGTAAAAAGTGAAACAGACCCACAATACTGATTTTTGTCCAATAATTTTTAATTATTTCTGTTAACTGAGTATAAATTAGTTAAGGAGATGCCATTGTAGTTTACAACTTTCCAATCTCTTTTCATGTTTAATTGTAAAAGTGTATAAGATGATAATACCTCTTTTGTTCAGCATTGTTTCAATCCATCAGGAATGTTTTAATCAAACATAATATTTCAAAGATAATAGAATTTCTAAGATGACCTTTAACTTTTAAAATTTTAAATAAACAAAATACTATCAAAAGAAAAATAGAAAAATTGATAAGATGTCTTTATTGGTATTTTAAATTTTGAAATAAATATAACACAATTTATATAAGAAAAAACAACCGATTATTTAAAATGAACAGAATTTGTTTATCCTCCAAACTTAAATTTCCATATTTGAAGTACGGAGAAAAATCTAACCTAGCTATTAGCTATAGTTGAAGAAGATCTGGTAAATTCTTCCACACAGATGTAAGTTTTAATGTAAAGTTAAGATATAGTTTCATAAAGAGAATAAAAAAATAACCAATTTCCCTTATTTTCTTCTACCAACATTTAATTTTATCTTAAATATCTGAAGTTTTTATATTAGTAACATAAGAAAAACAAAAATTGGTACTTTTCATTCCAGTATAACTGCACGTACATAAATTTTCTAAATTATTGATCTGTTTATAATAAGATCTTGAAGAAAATATACTTTTCAAATTTCTCATGCATTGTACTTGTTTACCGTTTGTTGTATACAGGCCATGTATCAGAATACCAGAAACGAGTATGTGTTTCTGGTCACCATGGCCACGATCAAGGTTACCCTAAGTGACTCAGGGTGCTGAGATCATCATATGCTTTCAGATGGGCTGGTATTGTTTGCAATTTGAAACTGCTGATTCTTCAAAACATTCTGATATTTTATGATCTTTTCATTTGTATCAATATCAGTTAAATAAAAGGTATTTCTATCATGCCTTAGATAATTACTAATCATCCAAGAATCTAAAAGAATATTGATTTAACATAATATAGAGTAGCATTTGGAAAAATAAGTATATATTTGTAATTATCCTTCTAACCATCATCATCCTTTTAAGTCCTATAAACTTGTAATACAGCATTTTTGTTCAGATTTATATCTATAGAATTTTAGTAATTTTTTTAAAGATATGATTTGGAATTTTTTAATAAAAGAAATGTGCTGGTATGTAAAATCCATCAGGTGATCTGTAATTTCATACCTTTAATTGTGTTGATAAAAAAAATCCAACTTGAAATGTTTTCAAAAGATAATAATATGGTATTTATCTTATCTCTTTTAAGTTGCTTTATTCAGCAATTTTCTTTTAATTATATCAATGTCTAAAAGCATTTTTCAGCTATCACATTCTTAATTAATTTTTAAATTAATTCAAAAAAATATATTTATATAAGTATGTACTACAAAGTTAATCTAATGGTGCCTAAAAATTTTGAAATCCTGTACAAAGCCAATCTTTTCCAAATCATTCCAACTTTTATACTTATCTTTTACTTTTTTCTTGCATCTACTTGTTGCATCAAATTCTGATAATTATTTAGAGAGTCATTCATGCTTTTAATTCAATCCACAGCTGAAAAATGGACATCTTAGAAATTCTTTATATCTTATAAATCTTCAAAAGATATTTGATATAGAAATATTATCAAAAATGTCCATCCAAATATTTATAAACATTGAGAATATCATCTGTATATTTTTAGAAATATTTTGATAAAACTGTTATCCTGTTATTTTTCCAATGCCTGTAACAGCAACTTTTTATAAAGAATATTTACATTATTTATGAATATTTACTGTTAAGTATAAATAACTGTTCAGATATTGTTTGTTTGGCAAATATTTTTACAGACATCTGATTATATTGTACATGTATATAGTTTTTATAGGCTTTATAGGCATTGCTTGTATCTGGTTAAATGTTCTGTGGTTTTTACTCCACACATGATAATGTTACAGTTTTTATGAACTCAGTTATATTTTACATTGTTACATATGATATAAAGATACTTTTAAATTTGATGAAAATTCTCCATTAAATCAGATTTTATTGTTCACTCCATACAAAATAATGTGATACAATTTATATACATGTTCTAGGTTACATTATATATTTTCTAAGCACACTTTTTAATTTATTAGCCATCTCCATTTAATAAATTTCTATTAACTTATTCACTTGTTTACAACCGTGTACATCTCCTGTGCCATTTATCTAATATTAAACATTTAAATTCAAATCTGTTTTTGTCTTCATTTGCTGAGAACATGTTTATACAATATGCTGATGTTATATCAATATAATTTGTGTTGATGTAATGGAATAATATGATTTTGACCGATGTGTTAAAATATTTCAAACAACTTCTTCTCATAACCAATAGGCTCAGGGCGCTGATATTGCTGGGAGGAAGAGCTACCAAGCTTGAAATCTGGTCAATGTGACCTTCACCTCAAGGTCAAAGGTCAATAAAGTTAGCTTTTTCTTTCACTTTTGTTTAGGCAATATCGTTTACTCCACTAGTTAGAGATATACAGAAACCAAAAATATATCTATAACCCTCACATACGGGAAGTGTGCACTGAAATCAGGTCACTTTGACCTTTACTTCAAGGTCAAAGGTAAACAAAAGTGCATGTTTACCATCTTTCAGTATTTTTGGTTCAGGCCATAATTGCTAAACCATTGCACACATATTCATACAAGAGACCCATGGGCTTAATGGTCAGGTGGTTATGAGGAGAATTAGTTTAAAGGATTTAACACACTGACCCATGTGACTTTGAAAATAGAGTAAGGTCATACATTTGAACAAATTTGGTAGCCCTTTATTCAAACATGCCACTGGCCTAATACCATGACCCTGGGCATTTTGATTATTGACAATAGGGTACTTGAGACTTTGTCACAGATGACCAAAATAAATTTCAAGTCACCAGATTCATGTCATTTTCATCATGTGAGAAGTCAAGATCAACATCACATCTTAAATCTTTTAACATTTATATTTTATGGTTTCTTTCTGAGGCAAAGTTGATCGAAATCAATGGACACGTCACTTTTACTAATAAACATGGTACAAATGTGAAAATTAGAAATATATTCTTCATAACTGACATACCTGCTGTACGTGCTCACATTCTTTATATAAAAGCATTTATATTCTGATTATTTTGATGACTTCGTTACCACATTTTTTATCATTAATCATTACCCTGTGTATGATTGTCACTGTCAGAAAAAAACTAATACCAGAAGATTTCAGAACAAGTGTCTTTATTCATTCAGTAAATATAATCATACTAATGAGATAAAAAATAAAACCACAAAGTTCCACAATCCGTGTTAATATTACAACAGCCTTTGCATAAATCTGCCATTATTTCAAATTTACATATATTGATTATTTATTGAAATGAAATATATTTGAATACATCTGATTATAAATGAGAGCTCACTCTTAAGAAAACAGCGACTGAAAAGTGTTTTGCCAAGCAAAACAAGTTAACTTAAAACCAAAACTAAATTTGTCTTGACACAAAAATTCACAATTATTCCAAGTCTGAATCTATATATTTTTATCATTTCAGTTTTGCTCCAAAGAATTTTCGTTCAATGGTGTTACTTATGAAAAGTTAGGACATATTTGTTAATAATGCAAAAATGATTAGTTAGTAATTTAAATACTGAAATACAGATTTTGCTCACAATCAGCTCTGAAACCTCTCTTTAAGTTAATGGCAGAACATTTAATTACCCCATCTGCCTATACGCAACAATAAAAAATATCAAAAGTACAAACATATCTTAAACAAACACATAATACACAACAATATAAGTATGAAGTAAATTATAAAACAATTCCTTTTTCACAAAAACATAATTCATCCCGATGTTTTTTATATTTTGTTGTTTTCCTTCACAGATTAACATTTTTTTCAGTTGTTGAATAAACCTATAATGAAAATGTTTGAAATCTTGGCCTTAACCATCTTTGATTACAATGACTTAGATATATCCTCCTAATTATAAAGGTCTTCCACCTAATGCTCAGTAGAGTCACCTCCTCTAATGCTGTAAATAGCAGAAAAAGTATACCTTATGTTGTTCCTAACATTAAGGGTGTATGCTACTTTTCTGCATCATAAATACTTTAAGTTGTACTTATACATGTACAGGTGTATATAAAAAAGACACATTCAATTATTTAATGTTCTTTTTCTAAATAGATGATTAATGATCAACTGTGAATTATATTTACTCTGATGCCGTGTAACACATAAACAATATCAATAACACAAGTGAAATGTACACACTACATGAGACTTATATCTAAAATGATGTAAATGGGTTATGAAAGATTACTTGATGGCCACAGTAAAATTTTGGCAGTAATTGCTAGATAATACTGCATAATGAAAAATTGAAATGAGTATTGATGAAAATTTAAGGGAGATAACTCTTACAAAAAAAATAACATACCTTATAAATATTTTGAGGCTAGCATTAAAAATCACATATTCACTGGTAATATGTGAAAGTGAGATTGATGCCAGAAAAAAACAGTGAAATTTACTGACCTAGCTATACCATACATATACATAACTTGAAGGATTTTGGCCATGGCTTGCATTTTAGCTCAAATGGTGCAATAATGTATGTAGTCCACAAGATGCTTTGTTACTTGATACAAATGATAAAACAATTTTATACCTCTGAGACTGGAAAGAAGAAACCATGGAAATTTTCTATACATGTATAATGATATCACATGTTAGAATGAAAATCTAATTTTCTAATTATTTTCTAATTATTTTCTGCTGTTCTTACTGTGAACATTTATATACCTGTAAATGTACCATTGACTATTGTCAAATCAGGACCATTGGATGTATTTTCTACTAATTTTGTTTCAACATCTTTATTGGCTCAAGCTTACAGAAATCAATATCAAGTGTTTAGTTAAAGTTGAAAATTTCACTTTCACTCAAGAGAGAGAGGAAAAAAACCCAAAAAAACAGGATTATATATATATACACCACATATTAGACATGGTCTGTTTAAGTAACGTTATAATCATCACATATACCCATGGTCTGTCACCTCAATAACTTTCTCACCCATACATGATGAGTACATTGTATTGTCTATAGACAGCTCTCCGAATAAATTTACATATTGCTTGATTTGCCTGTTGCTAATTTGATGACGCTATAGAAGTAGTCAGTGAAAAACATCTTGGCCAAAATCCACTAATGTCTTAAGCACTTTTAATTTTATAGTCATTTTCCTTCAGTAGTCAAAACTGAATCCTCCATGTAATGCCACCAACTTGTGTAAAAATGGCCACAGACTCACACATCAGTTACTATTCCTTACAGCCACAGACTCACACATGAGTAACCATTCCTTACTGCAACAGACTCACACATGAGTAACTATTCCTCACAGCCGCAGACTCACACATGAGTAACTATTCCTCACAGCCACAGACTCACACATGAGTAACTATTCCTCACAGCCACAGACTCTGACATGGGTAACCATTCCTCACAGCCACAGACTCACACATGAGTAACTATTCCTCACAGCCACAGACTCACACATGAGCAACTATTCCTCAAAGCCACAGACTTGAGACATTGGTAACCATTCCTCAAAGCAAGACTCAAATATTGGTAACCATGTTGTAAATATCATTGGTTATTAGAATGAACCGTATTTTGACTCTCAAATTATAGAGTGGTTATGGAAAGAGAGTTAATTTTGCATGACTGATAAAATGGCTTCATCAGTAGGTCTTTTAAAAATGTAACATATTCTTGTTGCCCAATGAATCTTTTTATTATATTTTTTCTTCACAAATCAAATCGGCTGCTGTCAGCCAATCAAAAGTCTGATACGCAAAAATCAAAGCTGATGACAGCTAGGTCAACAGTTGGTATTTTTGCATAGAGTCTAGGACTGTAAAATGATATCATTTTCTGGGGCTCAATTTTTGTGTTTTTTAAATAAAATCACTATTTCCTGTACATTTGATTTTATGGATAAATACAACGCAACAGAGTTACTTATTTTAACATTTCATGAAATCCTGAGTTCTCTGATTAACAGTACTCACAACTTCAATAAAAATAAATCACCAAGGAAGTGAATTACTTTACAGTACCAGTGTATCAACAATCACTTCACTCTCTTAAAAATAAAATCTTCCACTACATATATTAACTAACCCTGTAAGTAACATATACCTATGTCAAAATTATCACTAAACGACATTTCCTTTCAACAACATCTCTATGACATAACTTCAACAATTATATCAATTTTAGTCAGTGGGTAATTTACAACAATTCTCTTGATAAAAATAGATTTTATATAGTTTTAAAACATATAACATGTATTTACAACAACACTCATATAAATATACATCATTTAATTATCAAAGCGGGGACTTCAATGTAAAATAAAAAATAAAATCACATAGCAGTGTCACAAGTAAAGCAACTCAAAATCAGCAGTGAAGTAAACAATATTTTAATTTTCTACAAATTCTAGTAAATGTGGATTTAGAAGCTTATCACATGGAGAGTGATCGTCATTATAATCACCAAACCATTATATATTGTCAGTGATGATAATCTACACATCTGAGGACAAATGGCACACACTTTTCTAAATTGTCCTGTTATAATTGGGCAACTTATAATTAACATGCTATATATAGGGAATGTCCTGTTAATAACCGAAAATGTTCTGACAATTCAAAATGTTGATAAATCACTTTCACGTAACTACTATTAATTACTGGTGAGTATATCAACATGATCGTAACCCCTCGAGTATTGAGGATGTAAGGGGACTGATTCTATCAAACTTCACAGCTCCAGATGTATAAAATAGTCTAGTAATGAAATGTGCTGAAGAAATCAGGAACTTCTTCTACAGAACCTTAAATATCAGGGTCAAACCTTGGGTGTATGTTTCTTACTCCCAAAAAAATTAGTGATGACTCTCAAGTTTGAAGGGACATTCTCCATATCTCACATAGGTTTTGATGGCTTAATTAATTTCATAACTGATTTTGTTTTGATTTAGTTTCATAAGTATCGCCAGACTGACTTTTTGATGAAATAATAATCCACCTGAAGATGTCATTTTAATAAAGTGAAACAAGATTGTCACCAAAAGTCTGTAACTCAAAAACTTTAAAAAGTGACAAGCTTTAACAATATACGTAAAAGGAGGTAACTCTATGTATTTTTGAATGAAACAAGCAGCCCAGCAATGGAGTATTTACTATAATAAGATATATGATTAATCATTTATCAATCATTGACTCCCAGCCAGGAGTGTCGTAGACATACCCCTATGCCATCAGCCTAAAAATACTTCAAAATCACATATTTTTGCGTAGCTTAATTTTCATAGCTTTTCAAAAATTACTATTATAGCTCATTAAGTCTACTCATATGATTTCATGGCTTAAAAGTAGTCACAAAATGAATGAAAATAAACCCCGAACAAGAATACACGATTTTACGTGTACAGTTTATATTGAGTTTATAAAACATCAGTAGCATTACATTTTATTTAACCTGTAGTAAACCCTGGAGGCCAACATATTAATTCTGGCTCAAACTCAGGGTGTGGAATTATATCAAGATAATGAAAAGGTATTTTATGGTAATGATATTTAACAGGGAGAAAGAATGAAGGAGCTTGACCTGGTGAAGGCTGATTTCTACACAAATATAGTATACCACTATGTGTAGTACTACTTATGTGTAATAGAGGTCATTTTTCATCTCAATGCCTCTGCTAGGAATCGAACCCGGGACCCCTGGCTTAATAGTCTCACACTCAACCAATCGAGCTAAAGAGCCAGGGTTACATACTCCCCCTCCAGGAAATAACTCGTCCTCAAGTTTCCAGGGGTTACAACGATGCTGGTGGGGCATGACTAAGTACTATTCTCGAGTCCCTACATGGGCACCAATGTAATAGAGGTCATTTTTCATCTCAATGCCTCTGCTAGGTATCAAACCTGGGACCCCTGGCTTACTAGTCTCATGCTCAACCAATCGAGCTAAAGAGAAGTTCTCTCTAGCCAAGTGGTATATTGCGGCTAGTTTTTTACCAAGGTTACTTATGTATTAATCTTGTATAGGTTTCATTACACTTGGACATCAAATACATTCTATTTCATACCCTGTACAAAGTTTGCTTTTTGAATGAATTTAAGAAAGAAATAAATTACAGGACATGGTTTGTTTTTTCACCAAGAGAAAAAAAAAGTATCATTTTACATAAAATGTGAAACAGACAATATTTTCTCCATCAATATCAGGTTCAAGTGATCTACTCTCTGTGATTAATTTCTATGTAAAAGTTAAAGAAATATATCAACCCATGTAGATAGCATAGTCATGTACTGCACAATCTAAATACTAGTATAATGACAAACGGATATGAAACAAGCTTGTACAAGGAAAAACATAACGAGATGAAGGATATATTACTGTACTGTATTGATGCTTTCCAAACACAGAAGAAACAAAAAGAAAAAAAAAACAAAAACAATGAAATGGAAAAAGAGAATTGAGCACAACCTCCACCTCTCTCCCTTATGATCCTAAAAGAAGGGAAGCTGCTTGAATTCTGATTTTCTTTTTCGTTTGTAAATATATGTCTACAAATGTCTATATGTGGAGCTTATGGGCAAATCCATTTATGAGAATATAAACCTAACACTTTATTCCTTAAACAATCTTTCTACATATGTATATGGTATATATATATATATACGTGTATATATATGATCACAACAATAACAACAACTGTAATGTCAATTCACTTGTCCATACTGTTGTTTTTACTTCATTGATCATATATCTATTCCAGTAATATGCAACGAACATTTGTTTGTTAGGATCCATTACAGATATTGGATTAAACTATCAATATTACCTACTATATTCCATATGTACCGTTACATATATTACCATTACAAAGACTTTGATTTGTAAGAATTTAAAATTCTGTTTGTTCGTATTGCAGAGTTATCTGTTCTTGATGGCAGGTATTGACTATTACGTCACTTATTTCTGAGTGTAATGTTACGAGAAAACAATGTAATTCTCTCAGGAAATTAATGGCAGAACGATTAACACCTGCTCTTAAGAGCAGATAACTCTGCATTACAAAAAGAATACATATACATGGTTCATGTATATAAGAAAGCTTAATAAATCCTTGTGAATCTAAGATATCATGACACGTGTACAGATATCACACTTTAGTAATTAACAAATAAATGTTTCAGCCTAAAAACATGGTTTAAAAATGCATATCACACGGTTGTTTTATCAAGTAGTACAATTATATACATCAAGAAACCCCTGTCAAAATCAGATTGTAAAATATAAAATAAATTTTGTCTACAAGTTAATGGAATTTTTAAGTATGTTTTGATTAGATAACAAAATTCACTTTTGAAGATCCAGACGAACCCAGCTTTCCTTCACAAGTTTGTGGTTAAAGACATTTTGATGTGTGTCTTTAAGTAACTCTTCATATTGACAATATCTGCGAACTGAGTCGTAGATAGATTTTTTTGGATGTGGTTGAAATTCTATGTTTCTGAAGTGCTTGATGAGTGTTGATGAAAGAATGACGTCCATAACATCATATTCACATCCCCCACAGTCCATATTCAGCAAATCAACGTCAAAAAACCCTACACCCATCTCAATGAAGAAATCTTTTGCACTGACAACTTTCACAACAACATTTCTATTGCCATCTGTAGACATGTCAGGATGTCTGTCCATCTTCGCTCGGTAGACATCATTTTTTGCAGCAAGACCGAAATTATAAATCACAACATTTGGAATACCTGAGAATTTTTTAACAAGTTCCTGGTAAAAGTAAGGAACTGGCTCTAAGATGACTGTTAGACGTGGTTTGTACCGCTTAATCAGTTCTTCTGCCGATTTTCCGCCCAGGTCGATGATCAGACTGTTGGAGTTCAGGTAAGAATGGGCATTCAAGTAGGTTTCTGAATCCATCGTGTCATCTGGGGATGGTCCCTTGTTCTGGAAAGATGTGATGCACTGTGCAACTCTGTCACTCTGTTCCAATGTCAGAGACCGGTTTAGCTTCTGAATCAGTGTGATGTTTGACAGTAAGGGAGAAACCTTTGGTGGAGTGAAAGGCTTAGAGGTAGTCTTGAGACGCTCTGTGTAGTCCTTGTAGTTGAAGATGATCATGATGAAGACAAGGAAGACGAAGAACGCGTAAGCGTCTCGGTACTGCATGCTTGGACTTTGTCTGAAAAAATAAAAAGTGAATTGGTAATTTATAAACTAACATTACACAGTGACGTGATGGTCAAGTGGTCTTGGTACTGCATGCTTGGACTTTGTATGAAAAAACAAGTTAATTAGTAAATCATAAACTAACATTACACAGTGACGTGATGGTCAAGTGGTCTTGGTACTGCATGCTTGGACTTTGTATGAAAAAACAAGTTAATTAGTAAATTATAAACTAACATTACACAGTGACGTGATGGTCAAGTGGTCTTGGTACTGCATGCTTGGACTTTGAAACAAACAAGAAATACAGCAGGTCAGTAGGTTACTTATAAAGTAAGTACACAGTGACGTTGGTAGTCAAGTGGATCTCTTATGTTCACACTCATGTTTGGAGGATCGTTTACTTCAGATTCCCGTCTTTTTTCCATATTGTACCTTAAATTTACGATTTTTGCTGCTTTTTACATGATAACCTTGTTTATTTTGTGTTCTGTTTACTTGTCTTTAAATTGAGTCTGACACATGATGCTTAGTCACATCCCTCTGTGCATGTAGTTTACATGTATATGTCTGTATCACAGAAGTTGTTTACTACGAATAAGCAGAAGGTAAATGACTTATCATAAAGTTAATTTGAAATTTTCAACTTTATTAAAATTAATCTTTATAGCACCTATGCAACATAATATAAATCCAGCGCAATCATGAAGCTTATTTTTCTAAACTAGTGGTAGAATCCATCACTAAACATATTAGCATTATAGATGTCAAATGTACGGTATATTAATTATGGACTTTAAAAACACTGACCTGTTAAGTTCTAATTATGGTATATATTGTAAAAATATGGAAAGAGAAACATAAATCAGCATTTAATTAGCATATCATCAATCATAGACTTCCAATGACCTTTTAATACCAAATTTAAAGAAGATATGTAATGGACTTTAAAGCCTTATCAAATTTTAAAGTATTAAGGGGGAGGTCGGGTAACATACAACATACCTAGATAATTAACTTAAGTTTTACTCATAACTACAGATTGAGCTCACAAACTGCATTCAACATGTTGATTTGAAAATGAAATCTTCAAAACTAGCAAACTACATATGGATTTTGTTTAGCTACCAAAGTGTCAGTCTTTAAATGGCTGTTACATGCTGTACAACAATTTATTGTCATTTGAAATTTTTGGTCATGGATCATGATCTCCTTAAAATGATTAAAATCAGTGTCTCATTAAAGTAAGATTCAACTGTTTAAAGAATTGTTATGACCACTGGTGATTATAAACAAGTATTAATTTTCAAATATTTTTAATGAATGCAAATTTGTAAAGATTCAAATCAAGTATTGCTTGTATTGACAATTTCCCAAACATGAACTCAATCTCCAAACCATTTCAAGAGAGAGATCTGCATTGTGTGATTTTATATTATGTTATCACATGTACAAAAAAAATGTTTAGTGTGTTATACAGGAGATTCAACGCCAAACTCAAGACAATAAAACTCTGGAAACGACAAAAGCAGGAAAAGAAGAGATATATTGTCCATATATCATCCTCAGTAATACCTGTTACCACGAGATAACTCGAGCCTATAGCCTTTTTGGTACGTCCGAAGCTGACATTTGAACCACTTGTACAGAAACAGACTCCGTAAAAATCTTCCAATCAAACCCATAGGAAAAACGTATTGCTGGAGAAATCCAACGTACTGGTTGCTTCTCCCCTCTACCAGACAGATCATTATCTTCTAACTTGTTGAACCATTAACCCCTTGCCTTGATTGCTGTTAACTTTACAAACTTTATACTTTATTTTCCCTGATATAATTTTAGAACACAAATTTTCTATAATTTGATGTTTTCAGTCTCTGAAATAATAATTCAAATCCTTATTTATATATACACCATTCAAGTTCTGAAAATTTTTTAACAATATATTTTTTTCAAATTTCTGGTATACTGTTTAGAGTTGTAAACCTAACTAGGCTATAAGCCTAGCAGATACTGTTCACTGATATGACCAATGACCTGTACACTGTCTGTAGTGAAGTGATGTGCCACTCAGATACATTAGTAATCCAAATCATATCTATACATTTACCATAATTGTCCTTGAACTAGGATTTTTGTTCTTATAAATAAACACCACTACCCTGGTTCTTCTTGCATGACAAAATTACCAAGTCCATAGCGTAAGTAACAATTAATTTATACCTTGTTTGATTTAAGTTTGTTGTTATTTGTTTAGAAGTCACCAATTTCTACATCCTGAAACTTACGTCACGTCATATAAATTTCTATAATTGTATTTTATTTAAGTAGCTTTGTCTACTGTCCCCATCAACCAATCTCCATCTGTCTTCTGGAAACGATGGCTAAAAATGTGCTTAAATAAAGTTACTGCTAACTTAACCTACCAATAAAGTATACTGCCTTTTGACTGTGTGCAATTGCCTCACCTACGAAACAACGAAAATTTTTAATAATTTCCCTATTTTGATTCTGTTTTGTGTTGCTAAAGTTTCAGGTTTCATGTAATATATACATATTCCACAGGTTAGATTTTACCTGTAGATAATTACTATTGAGTGCATCTCTTTTGTATTATTTTAAATATTGCCTGCTTATTACGGCATATACAGTATTGACAAGCTGTCCTGGCCATGAACACATCGAACCTCAGAGCCTCGGATATTGTTAGATAATGGGTCAATGTCATTTAATTTGCAGAGTACAACCTTAAGCTTCTAAAAAATTTCACATTATATGATATAAATGCAATAATTAAGAGTACTGACCTTTTCCTCTCTGTTACAAATTTCAATGACAAGTTGTAATTAATCCCGAGCAACTATAACAGTTTTAGCACCTTTAACTTCAGTATGGACCAACACAATGACATCATTTAACAAAAAAAAAAAAGACATTTGCATGCACCCTAAATTTTATACCCTTTTAAAATCTTTCTTTTCTTTCATGGGTCTCTGAACTCTCAATATTTTTTTTTATATATCTTAAGTCTTAATTAATTTTCTCCTAAATCTTGCCATAATCAGTCTACTGGTTCTGATTTCTGATCAGAAGAGAAATAAAGAGAGAATCACTTTTATATATATATTGTGATGCATGAAGTAAAACTGGAAACTATATATAGCCGTAGATATATTATTAGGTGAAATATGGTAGATATATATTAGTAAATTTATCAGTTACATTCCACTATACTATCAATGATATAGATCATCCCTTCTCAGAGTTTAATCACAGTTGATGAAGTATGCATCTGTTTAATTTTCTGAAACAAATCTAAATGTAACTTTTTGATACATTGTATTTATATCAAGTAGACATTTGGAATATATATATTTTTAGATTTTTAGCAAGGCTGTTTATTTTATTTGAAAATACCTTGTAATATCATTTTTATAGACTTATACTATAGCAAAGTAAAGTTTTAATTGGTTGTTTCATATCAATGTTTTCATTGGTTGTACTGCATGGAAGAGAAATGTTTGCAATACTGTATCAAAGTAACATTTTCATAAGCTGTATTGTATTCACAATTTACTACCAAACCAAATCGATTTTTAAAATGTGAAAATTGCTTTCAAATTGTATTTACAGGATTGAAAAATATCAAAGACAGAGTGTGATATGGCAGTAGGCTACATGGTTTTCAAAATCCCCTGATATAAATCTTTTAATACATGTGTTGCCAAATCAACATTCCAGAAAATTTGTTTTCACACATTTACACTATTTATCCTACAATAAGCCCAGGATGGACAAAGCATTACATCTTTCCCAAAGTCAAGAGGCTGCTGACCAATAAGGCCCCTTAAAAATATGTAACAATAAGAAAACTGCTAATTATAGTATTGAACAAAATGGTACAACCGGTAGCAATAAGTCAACATATTGTCAGCTGTACTCTCTAGCCAGTAAACACTTACAGTAACTAAAGTGGTAAATAATATAACAATAACGATTACAACTGTGAGCCTACAATAACATGCAAACACAATATCAATTATCCAAAAACAGGAGACATGGCACAGGTGCCGCCCTAGAAACACTAAAATCAAATATTGATGTGTCTCCCTTCACTCAATCTTTTCCTTGCATAAAGCGAATAGCTACAGTTTTCCACTAGGCCGTATGATAAGCGTGATGATTTCAATTTCCCTTTACATTGAATTTTCCATTTCTTCATAGCAATATTCCTGCATCCCCAACTTATGGTGTTTACATGTTGCAGTTGATGTAATATTCTAGGGTTTGCTCCCAACACCATGATTTTAATGCAAATGTCAGCAAATGACAGACAAACTTTCAACAAAAGGGTTTTAAGAGGTGCACAAGGTTGATGAAGGTTATGGGGAAATTTTAGGGTCATGTTAATGATCTCATTGAGAAATATTCTATTTTTATTTTTTACGCAATATGGAGGTGGAGGTGTTTGTTTGCATATCGAAGTCATTCTGTTGTTGTTTATTTTGTTCTCATTTGGCAATGTGACACTCATTACTTGAATTGACCAAACTTTACATTGCAGGTATCTTTGATGAAGCAGAAGACACTTACTCTTCTGGAACACCTGGTCTTATTTCCTTGCACTTTTTCTGGAGTCTGTGTGTAAATTTTTCTTTCCATATTTGTATGTGAATAATGATTCCATTAACATGTTAGTAGTTTTTATGTTGCTACATTATTACCTGGTGGATAGAAGAATGAATCCATTTGGTTAAGTTTTTATTTAATTTGTATGCACACCAGTTCAAATCAATTTTACAGGTAAGGTTATAATATATGTGATAGGATTTGAAAAATGCACAATCAGATATGCAGATCAGGGTTCCAACTAGGGACCCTCCAAACTCTAAATGAACACGCTACCTAGTCCTCATCAATTGACAATTTCTTTTTTTTTCAAATGCTTCCCTCCGTTTCCGAAGTTTTTGCCATAAAAACATAATTTTTTCCCCAAAGACATACAACCAAAAGGAAAACCACAAATTTGCATATAATTTGCAAACTTGCTTATTATACGCCAATTGGGATAAGGATTTCCTACTAAAAATGGCAAAATCATTCAAACTGTGACTTTTGAAATATACTATTAAAAGTTGCATCAATTTATGACAAGGTGAATATTTTTTACCAAAAAATGCTGACTGTAACAGTCTTGCAGTCATAGTAACTGTACTATTGCAACAGATGCCATATAGGCCGGAAGTCTTGCATCTATTTTTGGTACTTTCTCACATGCAAATAAATCTTATTTTTACAGTTGTATGATGTCTCGTGACTAAATAAATGCAATTTGAAAAGCGAAGTTCACACTGATTCCGGCTATTTTTTGTAACAAATCCATAACCAAATTGGCTTATAATAGGCAAGTTTGTGTATTAAAGCAAATTTGTGGTTTTTCTCATCCTTATATAGACTGTGACATAATATTCCCATCTCAACACTAAAATTATTTCAAGTGAGTTGGGGTAAAATCTTAAATAATATTTAACAGTATTTAATAACAATTTGATGGGACGAAGGCTATACCCAGGTCTATTATTTATAATATAGTTTCAGTAACTTCACATGTGAAATGCACATGTCATATTAATTAAAAGTCATACATTATGTAATTGAAATGATCACCCAATAGATTTTCAAATGTCCTGATAGTTTTTGCATATACAACGTGAACATGTATACTATTCCATACACCAACAGCTCTAAATGTATGATAATTCAATCTTAGTTCTGTATTACTATGTTTTTGTACAGTTTGAAAATGGTTACAAGGTTCCAACATAAAAGAGGCAAATGTAACACCTTCCATCCCATGATCATAGAAACAGCACTTTCGTGAAACTGTTTCAGTTTCCAAGGTGAGGTCAATAAAGCAATGGATCACGGTTGACTTACTGCAATCGAGAAATCATTGTTACTGCAGTAAATTACGTGACGTCATGTGAGTCTATCCATGAACTCTTAAGTTATATACTTACAATAGCAAATACAACCTCGATGTAAAAATATCACACAGGATAGTTATATCTTTCAAGATCCGACCCGAAAACAACTCGAAGACAACTCGGGCTTAATTCCCATCTAGACAGGTGTCTGCATTTCCGGTATATATTATCGACTGCTTTGAACTGTAAGATCTAGTGAAAGGCGGCTGGACACCTCACTTTTAGATATACTCCGAAAAGACGACAATTAAATCTTAGTTCTAGCATTTTCGTGTCTTCGTTCAGAAAGAAGACAGTTAACAAACCTTAATTCTCGTCCCCTCGCGTTCCGAGAATTAATTGTTATTCTTTTCGGAGCGAAAAAACATCGAGAATTAAGGTTCCAAAGAGCTTTTGAGCAATTTTTCAAGTCTTCTTGATAAACATTTCTCAGTTTTATTCATTACCCATTTCAGACTTTAAACGTTCAGGGCTGTGACGTAGATCAAAGAGTAATTTTGAAGCGCGCCGGGTGTAGGTATCGAACAAAGCATGGCTTTATAATTAAGATTCAAACCTTGTACACTTAAAAGGAAGCATTTTGTTTTACTTCCTTGATCACGTGATTACTTCTGTGTATCATTAAGTTGATATTGTATTCCAACTGTACACTAATATAGGTCAATACTGCTTATTTTTACATTTTTAAGTCCGTTTCAAATTTTCCCGCCTCTACGGAACATTACAATTTTGGTTTTGTCAATATCAACTGTAAATTTCAATTGTTCGCAATGTTGAAATCCGTTTTCTGAAAACAATACTAAATAGCCAGCATTTAACATAAGAAATATGCTTAATATACTTTTTTTTATAATTACATATCTATTTAATGATAAACATGCCTTTGAGCGCTAATTTTGACAGTTCATGCCATAAATCTACTCCAATCACATCCACAGTACTTAGGCCAAACAGTAAACCAAATCCAGGATGTGTAATCTAGTGTTATAGGATTCGAACCAATTGATGTCTATTTACATGTCCCCACAATTACGGTCACTTAAATTGCATTGAAATTGCGCGAAATGCCAAGAAAACTATCTTACTAAATATCTCCACAAACTTTTTTATTATCTCAAAACTTTTTTGTTTTCCCTGTAGTTTTAAAATGGAATATTTTTTTGTATTTTCTCTCTTTTTCGTAATGTTATATGACCTGGCCCCACAAAATATATATGTATATAAAAATCAAAAATAAATGTTATAGATTTCCTCTACTGCTCGAGATTTTCCTCAGCTAATATCTCCTTGAAAACATTTTTGTATGAAAAATTCTCAAGGAATTTGGAAAGGATTTTTCATCCTAATTTTTGATGAACTTCCTCCTGTTCCTTGAGAAAATTTTATATGGGGAAGTCCATAAAAGTATATACAAACGTATCTTGGATTTTGAAAACATTATCCAAACAAATTCCATATATAATTTTCCGCTATTGATACTTTCTTACCCAGTTTTGAGACAGCTTGAAAAAGTAACGTGCGGTCACATTTTCAAATTCTATTTCTTAAATACTTACTCATGATATCGTTAGTTCGTGCTGTGATTGGAGGGCCAGTTTTAGGGGTAGGGCTGGGGTTGTGCCTTCTCTGGATCCGCTAGTGATTTCTAACCTGCAACTGGTACAATTGTAATTTGGATCTGTTAATGACTAAGAATCACATCATAAATATTTTCTTCCATTTCCAATCATCAATATTTATCTAACCATCTAGAAAAAAAACTCACGTATCGACACTGATAATTCATTTTCCCCTTGTGCTTTTATTAACGAGTTTCATGTCAGGACTCTAACTTATACAAAGGTAAAACTAGTCGATAAACTCTTTGCGACTGTGGCGAGGTAAAATTTAATAGTATTGATAACCGGAAGATGGTACTATATCTATTTTCACAGAGTAAAGAGTTCCTATTTTGAAATACATAAGCTAATGCCATTTCCGGTGTAATATCTGAGGAGGAAACATCCAATATGTTTACTCTAACGGTCGATATTCCTTGTGCTTTATCAACAGTTAGCTTCATCCACTGGTGAGTAGTTAATTAAGTACTGTTTACAAGTACATATGTTTTGTTTGCTCTGTTTACGTTCTAGAACGGCATATGCAATCTTCAAAGTTGTCCAATTAGTCGGCCTGTGACAGGTGCCCGCGGGCCACCTAAAGACCAGTTGAACGCGATCCAAGCGTGGTAACACTTTTCCGTTATGCTTTCTTTTTTCTAACTCTGAGCTTACATATTTTGTAACCATCACCCTGATTAGTGGAATTTCTTTGAATTTAGTAATATTTGAATTTGGTGTTAATTTGAAAATTTGTATTAATTAAATTTAACTATGGTATCTAGGTAGAGGCTGGGTATATTAGTACTGATGTTATGGCCGTAGTGTATGGAGTGAAGATACAAACTTTTCGTTATCTTATCCTATTTTGTATTGTCAATTTTGTTAATTAGGTGATGGTTTATCTTCGTTGAAAAACGTCTTATATAACAGAATGTGTATAATGAAGATAGAGAGGCTAGTTTTCATGAGTCAGTTTAATCAGCTAATGAAGTTGATAATATTTTCTTTGTGAAAATTATGAAGGATCCCATGACTCAGATCATGTTTATATTTATTTGTTTTTGTTTCAGTAATGTTGGATTTTTTTTAGGTTGTATATTAAGTATATAAATTGTCTTAATTACAGGAGTGAGTTGGGAATATCAAAACTCATGCCATAGCTCATTGATAAACTTCAAAATCATGTGGTGTTTATAATTACATGTAGATATAAATTGTTTTCTGGAAATTTCTCTAAAACCAAATACTGTGACAACCATGTGTGATGACTGTATCTACAGAATGCAATTCATTTAAATGAGTTTGTAATGATTCAGCATGTAGTTATTTTTAACAGGTTTGTTATGAATGCAGTTTTTCTATTTTTGTGACAATTTATATTTACATTCTAATCGTATCATTCAATAAGCGGATTGAATTCAGCGCTATCATTGTCCATGTATATAGTAAATGTCTTATAGTCTAAACACTTGTACAGCCCAGTTACAGTATTTCTGAGAGATTTGATATGAAATTCACTGGTAAAATACGATAAGATAATGTAAAGTGTCTTTTTAACCCTATTTAACTTTTATTTCAGTTTATTTTTAGCCAGAACATGTATAGCACTTTTATACTTACAGGACACAAATCTGAACTGTACTGATTAATACTAGATGACAGCCAGACACAGAATTAAGTAGATGAAAAGAATATGTAGACATTACACAAACATACAGTGTACATACATACATATATGCATAAATGGGACCACTATAACCCAGAGAATACATTGGCCTATGTAACCTAGCTCAGACGATCAAATCAGTTTCATTGTTCAATACTCCCTGGCTATGACGGTTTATGTTTCCTAACTTCTCGGAAAGCTTAGAAATGGTCTGCACTGACATGGCTTGGTCCTTAGACAAGACACTTTTGCCCTAATTGTTCTTGATGGTATGCGACATGCTTCTTGTATGTTGTTCAGTGAAGTAACTACCAGCTATTGTAAGGAGACTTCACCTCAGTGTGACACTGGCTGTTTATGTGTTGATAAATCTGTCAAAGTAATAACAACCAAATTTTGTAGATATATAACTTGGAGGTAAACAAATGAGGCCTGGTATATTTGATAATATTTTTCTGGTGATGAATCTGCAGGTATTCTGCTTTGAATTAAGTGAACTTTTGAATCCTGAAACAGACATTTGACCTCCAAGGCAGTTAGCTTTCATTCCTAACCAACATTACGATACAGTATTAATTTTACAATAGATATATGTACATGTATCCCTAAACTTAATGTCTGTTTCATTACAGACAATTATATTGTAACATAGATAGTATTTTGGAATAACTGTTCGTTCTAATATTCCTATATTGTATTCTATTCCTGACAAATTCCCAATTGTTTTTTTCTTTTATTATCGTAATTTATCTGGAACAATAGATTAAAGTAAGAATATCATTTTGTCATCAATATGATAAGCAGAGATGTTATAGTGATGAGCATCAAAATATTGGCTTAGAATTAAGTAATGAAATTAAACCTGTACAAAAACATTTTAATGAGAGGATATATAACTCATTTAATAGTAATTATTACGAAAGTCTTATGGTATACTGTAAGTGATTCATAATCAAACCTCATCTCATGCTTTCATGGGATCAGTTTAATCAGGTTTAAAGTCAAAGGTCACCAATGTTTCTTAAATTGAGAGGTACATCGTGTGTATAATTAGTGTAATCCAATTAGGCAGAAATTCTAGTTTCAATTCCCGGCTACTGTGGCTGGATATATATTTATGACAGCAAGCTTGGAGCTAGATATTCAACATAAACAGTCATGCAGTTTTATCAAAAGTGAAAAAAAAAGTGATCAGTATATGATTCAGTGTTTACATGTATATATAAATATGTAGTTCTAACAAAGCCTTTAGTGTGAATAGAATCAGGCAAATGTCGGGAAGTTAAACTGTACTTCTGTTGACCACAAAGAGGTCGTCAAGTACACAGACACTGAAGGTGATTGATGAAGCAGCTTTCGTGTTCACATCAGCCTCATTTTGACACTCTGTACCAGCCTCACTTTGACACTTTTGAGTGTGGTACACAGTAATACACATGACTCCTGACATACCAGGCAGAAATTATTTTGTATTTTGTGTCCTACCTTTTATTTTAGTCATACACTGACCACTTAAAATCTGTAAAGATATTGTGAATTATGTTCCCCGGTAGCCATAACCACTAATGGGCTGGTGGTTGTATTATGTGTATAAAGCATAGTTTTTAAATTACTTTCACCTAGGACGTAGGTTTGAATCATATTGGCAACTGGTATGGTATCTATTGGGATATAGAATTAGTTTTGTTTGCAAATAATGATACTTTTGTTTTTCCTGTTGGAATTTCCTCCAAATCTAAAACAACATTTGCTCTTTTAGTAGCATCTTAATAAAAGTAAAGGATTAATGTTTGTTTAACTTGTAAACAAGGCAACTT